GGCCTACAAAAGCGATCGGCGAAATAAAGAAATTTAGCTTTTTGCAGCAAAACTGTCTCAAAACTGAAAAAACGAAGGGCGTCATGCTCTGGACAATATTTTAAAGAATCTTTTTGCGAAAACTGCATGTCGATCGATGCTGCCATTATAAAGCCTTTGAATAGCAAATTTCGGCCACCACAAATAGATAATAGATAAGAAAACATTTTACTCTACTTTCTGTTCAACATTTTTATAAGTGCCGCACAGCTGCCACAGCTTAACTTTTGTCAATAAAATACAATTAAAAACAGCTTTTTTTCTCCTTTAGTGCAAATTTGCTTGTGCTACACAATACAACTTAGATTTATCCGAGACTTGCATACTCTGAAGATTATTTTTAGGAAAGGGCATGGCCACTAAAAGTTATGAAATTTGGTGGCGGAAAAGGAGGGGGGGGGCAGGGGGCGATTAAAGTCAGAAAATTTCAGTGAGCCACTGAGCACAAAAGAGAAAACGAATCAGTCAAAATCAAATAAATTTTTATCCCCCACCCCTTCCCCGGGAAAAAATAAAACCCCAAACAAAAACACCCCTCCCCGGACAAAAACAAAAACGAAACAAAACAAGGCAAAAAAACAAACAAAACAAAAACAAAACAAAACCCGTAACATATTAAGACCGTTACCTCTTGTTGTCCTTGTAGGCACCTGCCTCTTCAACATGACCGGAAAGATCTACAAGGAGGGAGAAAGGTGGACGTACGGCTGTGACTACAACTGTCTCTGTATAGACGGAAGCAGGGGACTATACGTCTGCAATGACGTGTAGGTTGAGGCGATAATCATGTAGCGTTTATTCGTGGTGTTATTTCTGTGTGGACCCAATGCATACAAACACATACAAAAAGATGCTCAATTATACACTATCAATCACACTTACACACATATCTTTACGCGCGCGCGCATACACACACATACACATACATACACACACATACATACACACAGACAGACAGACAGACAGACAGACAGACAGACAGACAGACACACACACCCAAAACGCACACTCACATACACACGCATACAATCATGGTTGCATACTCATACATACATACATACATACACACACACACTGACACTTATCTACACCCTTAAATATACATACACGCACACGCACCCACATGCACACACACGCACACATTTTCTTTGTCTTTGTCTCTGTCTCTGTCTCTCTCTCTCTCACACACACACACGCACACGCACACACACACACACACACACACACACACACACACACACACACACACACACATACACACAAACACATTCACGCCTCTCCAAGTTCCGCCGGAACGATAATAATGCAAATGGGAACAGCAGCGACAATGGTTTAAAAAAAGCATTAGGAACAACAGTAAGAGAGAAACAGATAATATTTATCATCTTTGGCATCAACGAAGTGAACTTTATTAGCAATTGCAATTAATAAAACAAATAGAAGAATCGAAACAACTCAAAAACAACAAACCAGCAACACCACCAGCTTAACAGTATCAACAGCGACAAGACCACTAACAATAACAATAACAACAACCACAATAACAACTACAACAAGAACAAGAACAACAACTACAATAACAACAACAACAGCAACAGCTACGATCCGACTCCCCCCCCAACCCCCCCCAAACAGACACAACAAAACAACAACAACAACAAAAAACAAAAAACAAACACCTCCCCCCCAAAAAAAAACCCCAAGAAAAGAAACAAACCGGACAGCAACAGCACCAAGCAACAAACTCTTGCAGACACAATGTGAGTAACAAAACAATACGTGTCACGACACAGTTGAATCAGGCGCTTGTCCATTTTTGGGCATGCGGAGTTATTGGTATCATCTGAAATGCAATTTATTTGCCTTGCTTTCAATGAAACAACTATCCATCGATCTTGAATAGATCTCAAGATATTTGCGATTAAAGGAAGTGAGGTCACCTGGTTTCAGTGGTGAAATTAGCGAGAAAATGACCGTCAAAGTTTGGTTACTCCAATAGCTAAAGAGTTCTTGAAAACAGAAAAATGACATATTTTGTACCTTTAATCAACGTTTTTCAGTAAAATTCACATGGAAATGTGTTTTTATATGGACAAAATAAAAATTCGATAAAAAAGTCAAAACTTTCGGCAAAATGCCTGTTTCTCCGATAAAAAAATAATTTGAAGAGCACCCTGATTTCACCACGCTGCCTCACATATAGATTCTACCATCGTCTACTGACTTCCCACAGGTGCAAACACTTCGTGTGTCCGGCCAGTTACCACTGCACAGAGTACGAGGATCCGGACTACGCTTGTTGCAAACTGCTCAAGATTGAGGTGGCCACTCTACCTCCCCCATCCACCACCCTTGCCCCAACCACCACAGAGAAAGTCAAAATAGGTAGCATAACGCTGGTTGTTGTTGTTGTTGTTGTTGTCGGTGTTGTTGTTGTTGTTGTTGTTGTTGTTGTTATCGTTGTTGTTGTTGTTGTTGTTGTTGTTGTTGTTGTTGTTGTTGTTGTTGTGTGTATGTGGTAGCCTATCCGTTCGAAATGTTTGGAGCTCCGAAGAGCGTGCTCTTTACCAGGGGCACCGCCCGCCCCCCCCCTTTGTTGTTGCTGCTGCTCTTTTTGCTGTAGTTTTGGATTGTTACTGCTCGTTGTTAAGGCCAGTTGTTTTTTTTGTTGTTTTTTTGGTCCGGTGTCCTGATTTGGTGTTGGGTAGTAGTTAGTCACAAAGAAAATGTGTCAGCATGGTAGTACACAATAGTTACGCTTCAAGAAAAAACAAAGCAGCAAAAAATAAAATATTATTTTGGAAGTTGTTCTTGATGATGATGATGATGATGATGATGATGATGATGATGATGATGATGATGATGATGATTA